TAGATTTTTGATTTTTTTCTACAGGGAGAGTGTTAGTCGATGGTGATTTACTTTGCTTTTTTCAGATTGAGGGTCAAAATCGGAGGCGAATGTGATCTACTTTGTCATATTCGTTGACTAAGATAAAGGCGATTGAAGTGTTTCCAATTTCTTTTTACGAAAAGAAAATTTCGTCGCATAGATTTCAACACGAAGAACGTATTTCAATATGTCGGTGCATTCAACGGGTATAATGAGGGAATCTCTTTTGTCTTTCCCAGATTGAGATTTTTTGACGATGGTTATGCTGTAACCATTAAATTGGACGGGACGTCTATATCGGAGGCAAGTGTGATTTACTTTGTCACATTTGTTAGCTAAGATCACGGCGATTGAGGTGTAACAAATTTCTTTTTAAGATAAGATATTTCATCGCATAGATTTCAACTCGAAGAACGTATTTCGATATGTCGGTGCATTCAACGTGTTTTGAGGAGGGATTCTCTTTTGTCTTTCCCATAATGAGATTGTTTTTGATGGTTATGTTGTACTATTTTATTGGATCGGACGTCTAAATCGGAGGCGAATGTGATTTACTTTGTCACATTCGTTGGCTAAGATAAAGGCGACTATTAAACTGACAATTCCATTTTTCGAGCAGAAATTTCGTCGCGTAGATTAAAGCTCGAAGATTTTATTTTGATACATCTTTCAAGGATCGGGTATTTATGACTAAATTCTTGTTTGTTTTTTCTAGAAGGAGAGTACTTTTCGGCGGAGATTTACTTTGCTTTTTTCAGATGGACCGTCTATATCGGATGCAGATGTGATTTACAAGGTCATATTCGTTGACTAAGATAAAGGCGATTGAAATGTATCCAATTTCTTTTTACGATTAGATATTTCGTCGCATTTATTTGAACCCCAAGAATATATTTTGTTACTTCGGTGCATTCAATGGTTATTATGAAGGATTCTCTTTTGTTTTTATTGGATTGTGATTGTTTGACGATTGTTATGTTGTACTCCTTTCATTGGACGGGACGTCTAAATCGGAGGCGAATGTGATTAATTTATTCACATTCGTTTGTTAAGATAAGGCGACTTTTAAAATTTCTTTTTACGAGTAGAGATAGGTCGCATAGGTTAAAGCTCGAAGAATGTATTTTTATACGTCTGTGCATAAAACGGTTTTAATGGTGGATTTCTTTTTTGATTTTATCTTTGTGATTAGTTTTTATTTTTTGTGAACTTTTATTGTTTATTAGTATTGGATATCGAAGTTGATAAATTTACGGTATAGTTTAACAGTTTATTTATTACTTTTGAAAGAAGGTTTTTAGACCAAACTAGAGAGAAAGTTTTTTAAAATGATATTACATTGGATATAGTTTTAACATGGTCGATATTTTTTATTGTGTTTATCAGACTTAACGTCTATACCGAATGCGAATGAATTTTTTTCATTGACATTTGTTGCCTATTTTATTAGGTATGGTTTAACTGTATGGTTTCTCATGTATTGTTACAATTAGAAATTACTCCGCATAGATTAAATCTCCAATAATCTATTTTGATACGTCTTTGCGTTTAACGATTTTAATGAGGGGATTCTTTTTAGACTTTGTCTGACGGAAAATATTAATCGATTTTAAACTTATGAATTTCAGTGTTAATCGTTTCCTAAGTTGTGAAGTTTTCTGTATGGTTTAATAAATAATTATTTATAATTTTTTTTGGTAGTTATGCTTTTGGACCAAAATAAAGTGAAAATTGTTTTATATGTTATTGGATAAGATGTATTTTGATACATATTGTAGATTTTTTCTTGCCTTTTCGGACAAAACGTCTAGGTTAGAAAATACGTCACATTGAATAAATCTTGGTTAATGTATTTTGGTTGTCAGTACATTGAACGGTCTTTAGTTATTTTTGATATTCTTATTGGACTTTGTCAGGCGGAACGTGTTCGTCAAGAGTGAACGAATTATTTACACGTTTACATTTGTTGTCTAATATGTTTAGTTGACTGTATGGTTTTGAATTTTTTTATTAATTTTGAAAGATGGTTATTACTGAAAAGTTTTATTTTAATACATCTGTTTATCGAGGGAATGCGTACAAATTTCATTGGCATTCGTTGCCTAAGTTATTAAGCTTCCGTTTTGGTTTGAGGATTTATTAATTAGTTTTTTGTTTAAATTTATCCATGATAACTGGAAAACTTTTTGATTTTCTATGCAGAATTTTGTAATTTTTTTATTAGTTTCAAATCTAGTTCTTTTGGACCATTATTTAAAGAAAGTTTTCTAAATTTCCAATGCATAGAAAGTTTTTTTTACATTGTAGAGATTCTGCACTACTTTAGTCAAATGGCATGTCTATACCAAATGCGAACGTATAAATTTCATTCACATTTGTTGCTTAAGATGTTTGACCTTTACAATAATTTGCAGTAAATATTTTGTAACCTTTTTTTTTAGGAGGGCTAGTATTTGTATGTATATATAAACTTAATTATATTCATTATATTTAAAATATGTAATATTGGACACAAATTTATTTTTATTTTTTCCATAAACTATGTTATTTATTTAGTTTGTCTTATGTATTTTTATGGATTGACGGTCTAGAGTTAGCATTTAAATTATTATTCTTTGTATGTTTTTTTTTGTAATTAAATGTTGTTTATAAGAATGGGATTCTTATTAAAACTACTATATTTATTTAATACTTTAGTACCTTCACGGTTATTTACGGTTAACAAGTATTTCATTACTTGTTAAATGTAATGTGTTTGTATCTCTATTATTCGTTTAACCATGGTAAGATTATATATGTAGTATATTTACTACAATTTGAATTTAATAATTTAATAATCATAAAAGTTTAATAAATAAATACTTTTTAAAATTAACATTATTTTAAATTTAAGGTATAAAAAACACAAAATTAACATGATTTCTTAAAAATCTACAAATTTCAAAATCATACAATGATATGCGTTATGTTCAAAATATGCAAAAAAAAATGTTTTTTTTTTTTTTTTTTAAATTGAGAACGAGCATAATTGTGGACATAGCTGACAATTAATCAATTTGAACATAAGGAAAGAAACATAAAATGCATAAACTGGGTTTTTTATGGGGATTCGAGAAATGCAATAACTTTTGTTCTATTCAATATTTTTTTTTTAAATAATTAGTATGCCTCAGTACTACAATTTATATATAATTTTTTTTTTTAAAGGCAAGGGGATTTAAAATAAAAAATGTTTAATTTTTTTTAATAAATTCGAAAAAACTATTCTGTAATATAGATTTTTAGAAAATGTTTAGGAGTTGAAACTTTGGTAAAGTGTGGTCTATTATTTTCTACAATTTTTTGAACATTTGAATAATTTATTTTTTCAATCATAACACTATTGATAATCAACACAAAATACTATTATTTATTGATTGATATTACTTCATAATTATAATTTGATAATATTATTGTATGATATTAACTCATGGAAAAGAAAATTCTTACTAATATTTGATAACTCAATATCCACAATAAGTAATATTTACATTTGCAAAAACTTCAAAAAAGCATAGAAAATAAAAGACCATACTTTAAAAAAAGTTTCAACCACCAATAATTTCCTAACAATCAATATTTCAAAATGGCTATTTTAAATTTTTTAAACAAATTATAGTTAAATTTTACATTTTTTATATTAGGTCCCCGTCACCCTAAAAAAAAATGTGTAGTACTGAGGAATACTAATTATTTTAAAAAAAATGTTTCTCAAAATTATTGAATAGAACAAAAGTTATTGCATTTGTTGAATCCTCGTGAGACACCCTGTATATCCTAGCCTTACTTATAACCAAAGTTATAACCAAAATTACCAAAAAGGCTTATTTATAAAATACAGTAAACAGATTACATTTGGTTATTCGCCAAAATACGTAAGATAAGATATGTTATTAACCCCTATGATGATAGTTATAAATGATAAGGATAACATAATAATTAATAATATCGTGTATGTATTATAATCAAATGTCTACTATAATTGCATTAATATTAAATATCAGAGGACAGGACAATATATGATTATTATCATAACTTGAAAAAGACTGATAAGTAGGTTGTTCATAGTAAATAATAGGATAATATAATAATTAATATGATACTATACAATTTTTTTCCCCTTAACTTTTTCTATGTTTCGGTTTTTTCCGGAAATTTTTAATCTCTAATCCTACTCACCAAAATGATTAGTATTTCAAATAGTTTTATAAAACATCAGTGAACTAACTACCAGAAGTTATAGTGTGTTTAATTAGGGATAGGTATTAGATTTTTTTAATTTTTAATTTTTTTTTTATTAGTATTTTGAAAATGCTATAACTACGAATCAAAAGCAGCGCTAAAGACGGGATTTTCTTCACCAACTAGACTAAGACCTTTTACTAAGGTAGCACAATCAGATAATATAAAAAAATTCCATATTTTTTATGTGGAAGCGCCAACTTAAAGAATCCGAAAATTTGTTTACTATTAAGCAATTCCTTACTATTATATAATCAAACTATAAATAATATCTTATTATTAACAACAAAATGTAAGATAAGCCTTCATTAACGCGTTTGAAGTGCCCCTCCCCTCTCATATTGTTATATTAGGCCATACCTGTGCTAACAATTTAAACCTAGTTTGCAAATATTAGCAAAAGAGTTAATAAAAACTATTTATTTAATTATCAACCTAATTATACCAATTTTATTCCCAAATTCTTAAAGGGAAGACTCCCAATTTGTTTTATACAACAGTAAAAAATGCAGAATAATAAACAAATAAATTGACATTATATATACTTACATAATATTATCGTACGATATTATTAATATTATGAATTTATAAATACTTTAAGTTGTGAAATCATGGACACCACAAACTCATTCAGTGGGGCCCATTATTTTGTATTTATAAATAAAAACATATAAACCAAACAAATACAAAACTATAAAATCTCTTCACAGGATACGGTAAATTTACAAATATTGAGAATAAACTCAGATTTAATTAGGTACAATTGAAGGACTATAATTTACAACTTATTTGGAACGATTTAACATGATAGGGAGTTACCTAAAACTGAATTGGTCAAAAAACTTAGTTACCGCTGACTTACAAATTCCAGAAATGATCTTACAAATTTAAGATATATATATACATATACATATATATATTAAAATTAATGGGCTAAAAATAACAATTAATTGTTTGAAACGATTCAGCTGTGAGGGGGGAAATTTCTCAGACGTGCAATCTTGTAATATTTTAGATTTAAAGTAGACACTGAACCACCGACACTTATGTTGATTTTTTTGATCCCGAAAATATTATGTATGATAATATTTTAGTAATGATATGCATATGTAAGCATATGTACCAAAAATATAGTTTATTGTAGGTTAACACAATTATTGTTTACTCAATTCATTATTGTAAAAAATACAGCACCTACATACTATAACTGCGAACTAAACCATCGATGTATTTTAAGCAGTGGAAACTGATTAATATTTTTTAATGAAATCGGATATATCGCATAGTAAAAAGTCAAATGTTATAATATAATATTGTACGATAAATTATAATAATACTATAGGCATCGAGTAATAATGCAGGGGAAAACGACAGTGTTTTTATAATATTATACGAACAATTTCAGGACAGTACCTATACAATAATATTATTACGGTTTTTAATCACAATAATAATAATAAAAAAAAATTATAATAATAGTAATACAAAGAAGAAAACTATAAACGGTTCAAACTTTTAAACCAATTGTCTTCTTGAGGATCACGTTAAAAAAAAACAATTAAGCATCGAATCTCTATAACATTTTACAAAAAAAAAAACAAACAAACCAAAAGGATTTACCTAATTTCGGTTTTTTATTTTTTGATTTACTTAACTAAAAAAAAAAATTAAAATAGTAAAATGTTGCCGTTGCTTAATGAACGAACAAAAAAAAAATATCCTCTGACATGTCGTTTTATATAATATGAAAACGTGTATATAATATTTACAATAATTCCATTGACAAAAAATCCTATAATATATTATTACGTTATAATATCTTATAGACGGTATTCAGTAAAATAATATTATTTTAATAATATATAATCAATCGTAAAAATCAAAAAAAAGTATATAAACATCTAGGTATGTTATTAATATAAATCGCAAGTGTTAAAATTAAAAAAAAAAAACATCAAACCGAAAAAAAAATTAATATGTACATGAAATTGTTTTATATAATAAATTAAATATAATAATATTAATTATTATATAGAGTAAAGGAAATCCTACGGTTTTTTGTACACGAATCGCCAAAAAAAGAGTTTAGAGACACGCGTAACATTAGGTATACATAATAATATAATATAATAGGGTAAGGAGAGGTTTACAATAATATCTTTAGCCCCGGAGAAGAAAGTATTGTGTTAACAGAAGCAGATTCAATAATCTAATCTACTGAATGGTATATAGTGGCACAATTTCTAAATAGTAAACGACCGAATTACTTAATGGCATAATTTCGAAATGGCCTAACCTAAATGCAGGCGTTCTAAATAGCTAAGTCATATAGTCGCATACGACGTGTGCCTTTTTACTAAACAAAAAATTCATCGTAGTGACTTAAGATATTTTGGTTGTAATAATAGTAGTAGTTTCTTTTAACAGTAATTTTAGTATAACATTGTATTCCTTAGATCATATACTAATATATATATATATATAGGCTATGATGTACCGATATAATTCGAAGTGCATATAAGTGACGGTACGCCCGATGAGACGCGTTATTTGTGCATGCCACGAACATACTCTTTGCATATTTAACTATGCTTATCAATTATCAGTCATAATTATTCTTCATGGGCAAAATAAACTATTCAGATAAAATATGCAACAAGTATACTTTTGTATACGCAGATAACCAGCTGCTTATTTAAGATTCAAATTTTTTAAACGGACGAGATATGCTATGGTTATACATCCATTGTATATGATTTAAATAATATACATACGAACGCTTATACCATTTAGATTTAAAAAAAAAAGGAAACAAATTACAAACACAATTAAATAAATAAAAAAAAGATCCTAAAATTGACTTAAGCCCTTCTTCCCTGGAACCAAAGATATATGTATAACTATACGTATAATACGTGGGCTTATCAAAAAACGTGGCCACTAAACAATTTTGAAGAACCTTTGGAGAGTCTCATGAGTCGCATAAACGGTTCATTAAATAGGTACCTATATTATGATGGTTTATAATTCATTTACACCCAGTTAGTTTTTGATTATTATTATGAAAATTTAATCAAAATAGGACGAATATAATTTTGTGATAAGCCCGTATAGATATAGCTTTGAATACCAGATCTATGAATAAATCAATGTTATAATTTTTAACGAGCCGAATAGTTCGCACCTCTAATTTAATGAACTGATTAGCTCCTGCAGTTTAGGAGACCATTTAATTTAATGAAAGCTTAATGAATCATTATACACAATCATATTATCATTTTTTAAAACTCTAGTAGTTCAGGTTAAAACGTTTAATGGACGTCCATGCAACGCCCAGCATAAATCTCATAAATAATTCAATATTATTGGCACCAATAATAAAATGTAACTATATTATAATATATTATGATTAATTATCACAGCAACTCTATGTTTGGTATTGTAACATTGGCGTAGTGAGGTTCGGATGGTGACCCGAGTTCATTCGCAATGCCGACAAACTCTTATTGTACCATTCTTCTTCGGGCATCATTCCTGAAAACAAAACCAACGTGTTTTACAAATCGTTTGAACATTTATAATATATAGTGAATAGTGGTTGGAATGAAACCACAATACACAGTTAACCGCAGTAGACTATATTCAAAACGTTTGGGTAGGTTTTTAGTAAAGTATAAATAGTATTGGATTGCACGTTTTATCAAACAGTTTATATAATGTTTTACGGGCTCCCACGCTTGTAAAAAACCCGAAACTATACTAATAATGTACTGAATCAGAAGGCCCGTTCCGGTTCTGGGAAATAACTTAATTTAAAAGTCGAGTAGGAAACTATAGTTTCCGGAATAGGGGGAGTAATGTCACGTACATAATGCAATTTTGACATGTCAGGTGTAATTAAAACTGAAATTGTACCTAGAGGAATTAATCGATAACACACAACTCGAGTTTTTAATAATACTCTATAAATTATAATTATAAATGATTATCTATGCGACTTTAATTTATATTTATCAGTCACAATTCATTTCCATAAAAAACAGCGCCACGTAATGCGAGACCTGAATAGAAATAACAAAAAATTATTCCATCAAGATAACGAGCAAATTTTCCATCGCTTCAGACAGAAGATAAAAATAATATAAAACTTTAGATATAATCTCGATTACGTGAATGTAGATTTAAAATCTGATTGCTATTAACTATATAATATTACGCTGTAGCTGCTAGAAATACCATGACATGTGGTTAAAACCAAACATTGTTTTGTTCTGAAATCTATCAGCGCGAGTCCTAAACATAAATATTATCATCACTACGTACGGAAATAATAATATTGTATGTATAATATTATATTATAATTTGTATTATCGATAAAATAAATTGTCAATAGAATATTTGATTATATGAATTTAATTTTTCAACCTCACATAATACAGTAAAATGATCAGATTATTTTAGATTTTTCACCGAGAGCTGTAGATTTTAGGAATGATAATAATTTTTTTTTTTTTTTGCAGAAAACTGCATTTATGACTATTGAGACGGCGAAAGTGTTTCGAAAGTTTTATACGTCCCTTTTTCTATAGGATACAGATGGTGCTTCAGGATTATACGAATTCCCAGTAGTTTTCGATGTAAAGTTTAAGAAAAACTGTAGAAGAGAAAAAAAAACTATAACATTTTTCGTAAAATCGTTTTAGTTTTTAGTTTAAAAACACTTTATACAAGGAGTTAAAAGTGTTCTGCAATTTTTTCACGGCGTAACCGTTTAATTACAAATCGATATAATAGAACGTACCTAACGAAACGTACTCGTACAACGTTGTAAAATGTCCAATAGGGAAAAAAAATCGCACGTTTCAGATATTACATATCGGTATAGAATTTGTATAAACTTTATATTTTTAAATCTTATTACTTCCCGTAATCACCCTATATAAATAGATGGAGTATTACTTTAAATACATCTTGATGTTAACATTTTTGATTTCTGTCAATTCGCTAACGAGAATATTACTGGAATAATTTAGTTTATGAAATTTTTAGTATAGGTTCTCATTTGAAAAACCAAAGTTAATATCGCTACAGGATACTCCTTAAATGTGGTGAAAATTCTAGGTATTTAAAAAGGTCGGGCTTAACTACATTTAAAAATTCTAAAAATTAAAATGTAAATATATATAGAAAACTTAACACTTAGTGAATTACCCTGTAATATGTAATGTATAAATGTATATGTTGTGGATAAAGTAGAATATCAAGCAATGTGTTCTGGCATTGTGGTACTGCCCGATTTTGATGGGCAATGTAGTTAAAATTATGCATTGCCCGGATCATATTACTATTTGTTCGAACGATTATTATTAGAATGACATTTCGAATTACATTTTTTAATACAGTTATATCTATCGATAAATATTACTAACGATTAATAACAAAAAAATTATCTCAATGGCCGATTAGCCATTATTGCGTAAGTGAAATAATTGGAATAGTTCGGACAGAAATGTGTGTGGAGTGGCTAGCGTATCATATAATGTATGATTATTATATTGAGTTACCCATCGTTCAATTTATCTCAAACCGATAAGTGTAAACACCAGTTAGGAACACGACGTTAAAATGCGCAATTTACTAGTGAGACTAATGAACTAAGTATACTCTGACCGGCAAAGTAGTATTTTATTTTACTATCCAAAAACATCGGGCAAATTATACTTTGCCCGCAAAATATTACCAGATTCGTACCGACAGGTAGATTAGATTCCTAGCTAAACGAACTAGATTGTAGTACCGACTATCGTGTTACTTCATAATAGTGAAGTGAAGTATAGTGTATTATATAAGTGTTCATTATAGTGCACCAAAAATTTGTATTCAGTGTACTAATACTAATTTGAAGAGATAAAAAGGTAATAATGTTTGTTCAATCACGTCGATTATCTTATTTTAGAATTAAATGATTAGCTGTAACAAGCTACTTGATTTGATATTATTACCTTATAATTTTTTTTATACTTTACGAAACTCATACAAAAAACGCCCCTCACAACACTAAACATTTATTTATATCTGTGATATAGAATAAGCTTTCAATATATGTTTTACATTTTCGCAAAAAAATAAAATAAAAAAAGAGTAAGGATAAAATATTTCTTGCTTGGTAAGTTTTCTGGGAGGGGACTACAGGCAATTTCGAAGAATCTTTAATCTGCTTAGCCCCCCATTCCACTCCTATTCTCAAACGTGGTACGTGGTCCTTAAATATATAGATATAGGTATACAATAAGTAACAAATACTCATGATGTAAATCAAGATTGACTCTACTTGAAATTATTCGCACTACTCCCGTGTCACTACTTAAATCAATGTCTTGCGGCTTAACTCTCGATTATATAATTATTAGTTAAACAATGTAAAAAAATGCAATGCAATACAATGATTTTCATTTTGGTAAATGACAGTAATATATTATTATAACCTAACCTGCGGGTGTCGTAATAGAAGACTGATTTGAAGAAGCCGCCGGATTCGAATGATGGCTCGTAACTGTGAACGGTTGACTCATCACAGCAGTAGACATGTATGAACTAGACGACATCTGAAAAAATTAAATCACGAGTTAAATTATAGTATGCTGCAGTTAAAAAACATTACGACAACCGTTATAGAGACGAACTGGCTCTGACTGTCATGCAATTTCCACGGGTTGCCGGGAAATACTTCCATTTATAAAATGGACAATTCAAATATCCAATACATATTCGTATAATACTGCGCATTATTATACCAAAGAAGTCATCTATTTTAGGAGCGGATAACTAAGGTTATTTGAGGATATTGAAATATAAATCGCGTATAAAATATACGGGATGTAAAACTCGTATTATTTTGTTACATTGCAGTTTGCAAATATTTTCGAATTAGTTTTTGTCGTGTAAAATAGACGAATTATTTGAGGTAAAATGGTTCTAACTATTCTTACGAAACGGGTTAGGTTAGGTTAGGTTAGGTCTTGTTAGACCTTTACAGAATCAAAAATCGGGAATAAATTTAGTATTCCGCTGCGTATTTCTTTGCCGAGGCGTTTAAATATTATAATAATAATATACACGAATAAATGTGGTAGAAAATGGTCAAAAATAAAACGAAATAATAATTTAATCAACAAAAATAATTCTTTTAAAATACATTGATAAAAAATTGTTTGGTTATATTACAATATCTAAGAACTTTCTTTACAAGATGTATGCCTTGAAAATCGTTAAAAACTAAACTATGTACGTCAATAATAATTGTAGTAGCATATCAATAAAAATAATAATAATAATAATAACTTCTTTGTAAATAATTTATATCAATTTCAAACAATAGTATGAATTAAAACAATAATTTCTAAAAAAAATTGCCTACTTCGAAATAAAATAAATAGAAAATAGTATAAAAGTTCGAAAAATTAAATTAAAATGTGTAAGCTTTTTTCATTCAAACTGTTCTAGCCGATACATAAACCAATTTATTAACTTGAGATTGTTAACTTAACATCACAATGTTATACCTAGTAATCGATGTTTAATAATAATAATAATTCGAATTTTTCATTTCTTTTTTTTATTTATTTTGGTAGGCAACTTATGTATTTAATACCACTTTGTTGCAATGGAATAACCTGCGAAAACCAAATCGGAATTGCGCACCAAGGGAAAAAAAAATCACAATAATTACCCAGTTACAAGTTTTATAGAACTGTAACAGTTTAAGTATAATTAGTATTTGTGCATTTAATGTAAAACAAAAAATGCTCGGGATGAAATCACTAAAAACAAAATTAATTTTTCTAAAATAAAAAAAATAAAATGTAATTTAACAAAATAATAGGTACTGCAGAAATGAAAAAACCGCGAAATATAAGTGTTTAACTTTATTTTGTTGTTAATAATTCGAGCAGAATGACGCACCACCACAGTCGTAATAAGAATAGAATAATGAACTGGAATAATGAAAAATAATACTTAATGAAAGTATAAAAAACACCTAAATGCGATTAAATTAAAGCAAATCACATGCAAAATAAAATTACTTGAAAAAATATTACGAATCGTCTAATTTTAAACTGTTAATTCGTATTGGTTAATAAGCACTTAAAAACTGACAAATAATTACCAAAAAAAAAATGCTCTAAAAACGGAAAAAACAGCGGGCAATACGAAATAATACAAATATTTGCTTTTTAAGTATCCGTTGCACACGGATCAAAACGTTATGTATTTGACGGTATGCATCTTAGATAATCGGTGGGAGGAGGGGGGTTGGGAATAGAGACTTTTTTGTTTTAAAATCCGTAAGGGTAGTCTAAATACGCAATACGCAATAATACACGGCAACATTGAGACGACAATAATACGACAAATATAATATTATATTATAAATTATTATGAATTATAGAATTATACGAGTTACACGCACGCATACCTGTGGATGGTATCTGTTCATGCTGTTCGGGTGCGGGTACGCTTGGTACGTCCTGGAGGCCGACGGGTAGATGTTTCGCATCATGGCGGCCCCGTTGCATCCGGGCAGCATCGAGGGCGGGGCCAGAGCCTTTTGCAATTGCTTTTCCTGTTTTCTGTACTTGGCCCTCCGGTTTTGAAACCATACCTATATACACGAACGCGGGGAAAGCGGGTAACGGGGAGAGGGAAAAAAAAAACCCGCCCGGCGGTCGTATTATCATTTACGTCATCCAATGCGAACTCATATAATATATACACATTATTATACACCCGTGCAGCGTCGTCGCGTCCCCTTTTCGAGCAACGTTTCCGAATATAATATATACGTATATATTATTATACTCGCATTATCGTGTGTATATATATATTAAATATTCGGCAGAGTACGCGCGACGTTTTAAAACCCCGCGGGGAAAACGTATCCCTTTATGTACACGACGGTGCGCGCCCCGGAAATACATTTCGGACGATAAATTCGATTACGGCGCGGCTCTCGCGGCGGTTCTCGGCGGGCGCGCGCGTGTGACGTACGCGCGCGCGGCACAATGCGCGCGCGATCCGAGGGGGTTGTGTACCGGGCATCCCGGGAATAGCGGCGGAGCCGTGATGTGACTCACCGCCCGGCGCGGCGACGGCGGCGGCGCCCGGTGATGTGCTAGATAGGAGTTATTAGACGGTTTTACTCCCAAGGATAACGAAAATTCCCTTTGCGGGAGCTGAATTTTACCGGCCGACAAATTCGCTCCGTCCGCCGCACTGTTAATCACAGAACATATAGTTCTTATCGGAGAAAATAACCTCTTCGTCGATTTTATTGACCGACGCGATATTTCTCCATTATTCGTCAATAGTGCACCGCGGATGCCTAATATACCTCTCGTTAAAATTTAAACGTACTATCATATTATTTTCAATATAAAATACACCGAAATAATATATTATCGTGTGACTTTATGCAATATATTGAACTAATAATTATTTAAATAAGAAACGTAAAGAAATTCCCACAAAGACACAAAATTCCCCTTTCGCATATTGTACGTTAACATTTTGTTCCGCGGACGGAAATTCCCCTCGGTCTAACGTCACTTGTCGGCGTGTTAAAGGTTTTAGAAATACATACGATAACCTTCTGACGATTGAGCAAAAACAATTATTATGAGCCATTTGCCACGTTAAACAATTATGCATTTTATACTATACAAAAAATGAATGGTTACGATATAATACAAAAATATAGTATACGGGTTAGAAAATAGTTGTACTATTTCATACTAATAATATCTTAAAAAACTTTTTTTAACGCATCGACTTATGCGAAGGTCCAGGTGATTGAACATAAACTACATAAATTGAATTATTTCTATAATAATTTTAGAACAGTTAATTTACAACTTTAATGCAATAAAATGTCGCCTTTATTGCGATCAGTATTACTAATAAAACAAATTTATATTTATTGCTTTATTCACTAAATGTATTAATCGATACATTTTAACTCTGCTCGTAGCTCGGATAAGTTTGGTATCTTGGCATGTATTAATACGTGAAAATAATAAATTACAAAATTTCTTTTTGAATGTATAATATAACGTCGCATAAAATATTCTATGGTCAATCGTGTTTGTCTGGTTCAAATGTATCTAGATAAATAAAATCATTTATCGTATCTATATAAACAAACGATAAATATTTAGAATCGTCTATATATAGATAGATAGAGAGATAGATAAACGTGTATTATCTGGATAAATCTTTTTAAACCGAAATTTATACAGTTTATTAGAAATAAACCAATACAAACCGCCGTTAATATCGAGGTTTCGTAATGGCCCGACAAATTAAACAACTTTAAGTTTTAGCCGATTAAACTGGAAAATTAACAGAAGCCTTCTTTAATGCCTAATTAATCGTTTAGTCAAAACCGCTTTTCGAAATTCGCAACCATGTGCGAGGTACGAGCAGACATAGATATGGACAAATCCATAAAGCACTTTACGGCACTTAATAAAAGGTTTAATATTTAATTTAATTTATTAATAAATTCATACTTATTATAATGTTATTACATTAATCGCACAACGTTTATGAAGTCTAGACGTGTATCAAATATGGTACACTTTTACTACTTTGAGCACTTAGATTTATGATAGGTTATGAACAATTTTTATTTTTCTATCCAGATAAAAAATTGCTAATTATTTATCTTTATCTGGATAATTAAATTGTTACGCATCTTTTATTTTCATCTAATTACTCTCGCAATCTATCTTTATCTTGATATTTTTAAATTTATCGTATACAAAACCGGTTTTAAGACCACCAGAGGCGCATTTCTAAAAATCTAACACGAGCTTTCATTTTTTCATAGATTTTATAACACATCGGAAATTAATTTAATTATACACCCAGAAACGCTATCTAGGAATGCTTCCGCAGAAAACAGTGGCACTGGTTTCAATTAGATACTAATGTAGATATGAGTTTAAGTTCCTCAAAACTCCTTTAGTAGGTCAATAATGTGGGTAGTAAATAGTAATCTGCAGTGATTTGTCATCAGTATTTTTTGTAACAAGAACTTTAATTTCGGTATCCGATAACATGCACATTATTTAATATGTCAATGATTTTTGGTAGGTCGGTGTGCTATCATTCCCCTCCTCCTCCCGGAACTAAAATACCGGCTGCCGTCAACGACAGCCGTCACCCAGTGCTGTTGCCTAGTTGTCTTTTATTCATCCATGTGGCGCATGCCGATTCGACGACGGTACCGATACATCTATACAGGTGTAATCTAGTAATTGGCGGGAATAATATATAGGTATATAATGTATGTAAATGAGACATTCAAATGCGGTTATCTGTCACATGTTTCATTATCCGAAAAACAAAACAAAAGTTCCGCTAGAACAACAAAAATAACAAATTTATTATTATTTTTATATACCTATATGTACGACGACGTGCCCCAACGAACCGTTTAGAATATACATATCGTGAATACGTAATTACCTACGTATAATTATTATCGTCGATCAGTCCACAAGCCGGAGAGGAGAGCGTTATAAGCGCCCGTCAGGTAATTTTCAGAGGAGGGACAATGTTGTGCAAAGATAACTTTAAAATTATCTAAATAAGATAATAGACAATACATTGATCGGGATAGATTTACCATTAAAGTTGCTCGAAAATGATAAGGATAAATAATATCTTGAAGCTGAAGCCTTTGACTCTTGGCAAAGCTAATGAAGGAAATTAATCGAAAATAAACACTGATTTGTTATGCGAAATCATGGATAATATTTTATTTCGTGTGCAGTGTGTTAATATGCAATCAGATCGGATTTCCGAAAGCGGTTCTTATCATTTTTCCATCAAGTACTATTCACTGACATTGAACATTTATCTAGATGATATAATAAACAAATCTAAACATATTCTTATCTAAATCAAATATAAGATAACCTCATTTTTATCTAGATATATTTTTTAATTTTCAGGTTTTAAAAACTCACAAAATGTAAAAAAATGTAAATGTGAATTAGTAAACAAATAATAATTTAATAATGAATTATGGATTATGTTTCATAAAGTAATTAATAATAATAATGTATCTATCAATTGATTATTAAAACATTAATAACAAAGATTACATTAAACAAAAGTTTTCCGAATATCGTCATTCACCGCCAAATTTATTTACTTAAAGCCACCAAACAAGACCGACCTAATTGTAAAATTGTTTACTGAGTATATGAACACATAATTGTTTAGTAAAATCCCAAACGGTTCTAGTACTAAATTCGTAATAAGATAAATTATTATTACTTTTTTTTTTTAATTCAATCATTCAGAAAACGAATAAAATAAATTCCTTGCAAGTCCTGTACTTAACTTAACCTAACCTAACCAATACTGTAATATATGTTTACACCCACTTTATTTTTCTATTTTTAAACAAAATCTTCCCGAAATACATTCATGAATTCCTTAAACTTTTATCCACGTAAAATATTTTTATTAAACGCATTGATAAAATTGTATTTAATTCCATCGTCTTTTAATACCCAATATATGGTTATACTTTACGTTCTCTCAGAATCTCTTAAAGCATTAGGATCGGAGCGATGCCCTAAATGTTCTCCGTCAGATCTGACTCCGATTCACGCACCCAGTTCGTATGTGTATATATTATAATATTTTAAAATTTTTACATCTGTCGAACTTACTTGTATTCTGGCTTCGTTGAGTTTTGTACTTCTCGCTAATTCCTCCCTGCAATAAATGTCGGGGTAATGTGACTTGGCGAAAGCGGCCTCGAGTTCGGCAAGCTGTTCCTGCAAACGAACAGTTTAACATATAATAGAATCCTAATTCTGGCAAATTTCCAAGGAAAACCCCGAAAATCGGAGAATTTAAAAATATTACATTGAAGAAGTGGTTGGCTAGAAGGAGGTGAAATCAGGGATAAGGAGTTACATCCGGGGACATTTTAGTTTGCCACAGTCAACGACGTGTAAGACAGTTATAATAGATATAATAATTATAATCAATTATACTGACTTGAGTAAAAGTCGTACGGTGTCTTCGTCTTGCAGGAGTAGGACACGTCGCAGTAGTGGGCGTGTGTCCGGAATGACTGGCGCTTATGCTGCCCACCGATGTCAAAGGTTCGGTTTTCAATTTTTTAAACGCTCCCTCGGGCGCTGGAATTGATAAAAAAAAAAAAACAAATTAATATATTTGATTTTTTTTTTCTTTAATTGTTATTGTTATTATTATAATATTGCCTTCCAAAATGTCACTAGATGATGGATCTGTTGAGAAGTTATTGAACATCAGTTGATGCATATTTAGTGTTAAATAATGGAACATGATCTTATGTTTCCAATATTTTCCCTATATTATCAAGTAAAATTTAGGCACCTTATCCTGGACATAAATTTAAATTATGGCAAATCAGAACAAATGAGAACTGATAAGAAATAATAATCAAACAATTTGGTAAAATTGAACGCTGGATCAGATATAAATTTAATTGGAAACGTTGAATTTTTGAAAAAGATACATACATCATTTCAATTGGATATCGCTAAATTTTGGAAAACACCTTATTTACGCATCAACGGTCATAAAATTGTTTTATAGTAATTATACATATAATTTATTGTTCTAATATTCGCGTGAAGTGCATACATGTTTTTCTCCGTGTACTCTCGGCAAAAGATAATATTATCTAAGATCTAATAAGTATAACTATTATTTTAATATGTTCTTCTATGTATTCTATACAGGGGTTTTCGTTTAAAATACTCATTTACTTAAGTAATTGCTGTAAACTATAACGGTAATTATTTTCATTATAGTATTATTATATTGAATTCATCGTCTTTTAGCTCTTTTGACTGTATTCGTGACTTGGCTGTACACGTTTTAGAGAGTTAGATTTTCAATTAAAACGCGGTTTATTGTACCCCTACAGGTTTTCGTGGAGCGCTCGACATCAAAAAGATAAATTTTAGACAGTGAAAACCTCTTGAATTTTAGTAATTTATATTCAAGAAAATAATAGTATACGAGTATATATATACATAACAATATGTATGGCGAACTTCGTACACAGAATGTACGAAATCGTTTTGAACGGTATAGCTACCTATTTCCATATAAATTTGAAAAATAAAAAAAAACGACGATTACTACGTGAATACGTCTATAATGTATATATACTTATGCAATTTATATTCAAAGAGATACTTGAAATGTTTTGAAAATTGATACATAGAAATTCACTTTTTGCAATATCAATATACAACAATTAATATCTATTATAATGCACCTATACGAGTATGTATATTAATATTATAATTTTCTATTTTAAACACATCTATTTTCTATTCCTTTTAAGCCAATAAGAGGTGAAAAATTAGATATACTTCCCAATGCCCGATTTAAATTTTTTAAATAAATATGAATCTATTGACAAATGTTTTAGATTATTCGAAAAGAAATCGATTTTCAATTTTCATTTTTGAAGACCTCCAAAATAAATTTATTATTTTTGAAAATTCCGTCAAATAACCGTATTACATTTGTATTTAATCTCAATCATAGATATTACAATTATATATTATCAAAAACATCCAATTGGATATACCACTCAATAATGATATATTGTTATTTTTTTATTCCATAGATATAAATATACGTTATCAAATACTGTAGAATACAGTTATAATTAATTTATTGATAATTTGTGATTATAATTTCAAATTTCAAATTGATAATAGCACATTATGGAGTAAAAATGTTTTCATGATTAGTCCATCCACTAGTTGTATGTCTCTTTTTCTCAATATCAACCTATGTGTATTCATTCTTTTTTGACTTCCTAAATAAGCTAGAAAATTTATCAAAATGTCCATGCATACTTTTATAATCGAAATCGAACTTTGGGAAATACATCTAATTTTCCATCGCTTATTGATGAAAAATGTCGTATTCGTCCATAAAAACGACCGTACCCATTCTTCTTAAATTGAGTGTCGATCGGGCAATAGTTTAGTGGAAGAGTATTATCGGTAATGTGAAAACTAAAGGAATAAAATAATTTTTAAATTTCTAAAATTGAAGAAAATTTTGCTAACCGTTTCCGACCCCTTTAATGCAGCTCATATTTTATACGTAATTTACGAGTAAAAATAATTTCCTAGTTAGAGATAAGATAATTATAATTACCGAACGTAAAAAAATGAGTTTACCATATAAAATTACATTTTTTGTTTTATATTAGTGCCATTAATAATATTATAATATAGGAATCTACATATTCTGCGTTACTATGCGAAATTCTAAAACATAAATATTATATAGATAAATAATGTATATTGAGTTGTTTATATATTTGACAGTCGCGTAGTAATTTTAATATGTGTTAACGTAATATTATAATTTATATTATTTTATGTGAGAAGTTAATTAAAGAAATCTGACGATTCGCACATAAATTGGAAATTCAAATTCAAGTATATACTGCCGTTATTTTACATAAATAATCAAATATTCAACTCCTACATTCCTGGCAGAATAAGACGGTTTTAAAATGTAGAGGTATTCGAGATTTGACACAATACGTGGACCGCATTATTTAGAAGGAACCAGGATTATAAGGCACTCAAAAATCAAACAGTATTTTAGATTCCAGAGCGTGATGAACAATAATGTATTAGTTTTACCACGATGATTTTTTTCTATCTGTTCACAACTATTGTCTACCAGAAATCTTGCTCCGATCGTCAACTTTGGAAGTAGTTGCAAATTTGTGGCGTCAGGAAGTGCATAATATATGATTCCGCAGGTTATAATGATCAGAAACGTTTTACGTTAGCATATTGATTTATCGTCACGTACAAATTATAAACTTAATCACCTTAGATTCCCAACTCCCCATTTACTACAGTAGCACACATACGATGCGAAGTATTTCAACATTTGTTTATTTCCCATTGTATACTCGAACGGCCTTTCCATGAATTGTGTATATCGCGTGTAATCCGTTTTGAGTTTTAACATGCATTTTACAAATTAAATGGTTGGTTTTTTTTTCAATCTATGTTTGTTTAGTTTTTAAACTAAGTTTATTAACGGTTATTGCGTCCTGATAACAATAAATTAATTTATTATTTATTTATGATTTTTGCGATAACGCAAAATTCATTTGAAAAAAATGCTTACGCTGTGTGTTGCCGATTATATTATACGGTAAAACCGACGACAATGTCGGCCGAAATTTAATTGGTTCACTAAAACGAACCCGAGAATTTTCATAAAATATATTATTGGTCGCAGTTTTGAATACCAAGCAATTCGCAATAATTCTCGTATATAAAAACGAAAGAATCGATGACAAATATATTTTAATACGGCGAAAATACGACCGGGATCCGGTGCTAGGTCAGTGTTTGAAAAAGAAGTGATCGAACAATATTTTATAGAATATACATTTATAATCGAAAACTCTAGTTGTTGAAAAACAAATCTTTATCGATAGTTCGAGTTTCTCATCAATTTTTATGACTATTTATGAGCATTTTTGGCTCAGAATAATCGTTTAACGGAAAAATCACTCGTACCACGCTGAATAGTCAGATTTCGATGATTATTTGCGTGTCGGCAAGAAAAAAACTTTCTATACATTTGCGTCGTATCTTTGGATAAAGTCAATTTTAAATTTTTTTATTGTCAACTAATTGCATACGTCTTCAATGAAAAATCGGAGTCTAATATAATATAAGCCCCCATATAAAATGTTGTTATTTACCAATTAAAAAAGCAATGGTATACTAATTTAAAGTCAATACGTTACCCCGATAATTGCCGTCATATTCGTCCGTAAGAACGCAGTAGATTAGTGTATTTGTCTTATCGTTATAAAAGGTGTAGACTTAATATTTATTCAGTACCTACCTGACCGCCTACGTCCTATACCGCCCGGTATGTATGTAAATTATTGTTCGGCTAACACTCGGTATCCGATTCGTTAATAGATAATTTATTTTATAATTGTAAACATTTTTTTTTCTTCTTTTAGATTCAGAGTGTAACGAAGAATGTATTGGTTTTACAGAAATGTTTATTTTTTATTATTATTTTTTTTTTTTTATGTTAATACTTTCCAGCAGAAAGCTTACTCCGATGTATACGATGAAGATTTTTTATCTGAAACGAAATTTTCTAGGGTGCTACTTCGGTAAGTCATTTTTTGATTTTCCCGGCAGTTTTCCTAATAGAAAAAAAAAAGTGAGAAAAAATGGGAAAATATACGAAATATATTAGTAAAATACTATGATTTTTTTTTTTTTCTGTAGACAACTTTTCTACCAGCATTTTGTTCTGATTTACAATGATGGGATTTTTTCTAAAAGTAAATCTGACTGGGTAGGTGCTTTAAAGAGATTAATTTTCGGTTTTTTCAAGAGTTTTCCCAGCAAATGTTAAAAACCGGGAAAATCGTTACATTATTATTAAAGAAAATATATAACGCCTACTTAATTATTTTATCGTAATATGACATATATATTGTTGACAAAGCATCACTATCAACTGAACACCGCTCAGAATCATTTTTAGTAAGTAATGGTTTACCCAACTTTTCACCTACAACAGCTGCACCCATGCAAAGTATGTCAGTCTTTTTTTTTTCAGTAGGAGAAAATTTGGAAAACAGACACCGTGGGATCCTTTGACAATACCGAATATAAATAATAAAAAGTCAACGATTTAAATTTCGAGTCACAAAAGTAGTATGCTCGACACATATAACACATAAAATACACCGAGTAGTCACAGGTAATTCTATGGCATTTTATAAAACGTTCGACCATAATAATCGTGTGATAAACCGTTTGATCTAGAGTTTACTACATACTGTTCTGTTCGGCTAGCGATCCTCGTCCGGGCGACGGCGTGTTGTGATGAGATGAGTCGCCGGCCGCGTTGACCGGCAGACCGTACAATGAGCCGAGCTCGTTGGACGAATCACTGGCCCCTTTGGACACGCGCTGTTTTTCCGCGTGCACCGCCGTCGGATGGTGATGGTGCAGGTGATGATGATGGTGATCGTGGTCCATCAACCCTAATATACCTCCCAGACCGGGTCGCAGATCGTCCATCATCAGTTTACCTGAAACACGGCAACGTTTTACATTTGTTAAAACTGTATTATTATAACTGCCCCGCAGACATGTTCTAAGAACGTACATAACTTTATGTATCCTCGGGGTGCAAAATAGCAAAAATAAATTTGTCAAATCATTGAGCGTCAAAGTCTAAGTCATCTCACTACTTTTGGACATTTCTAGGCCAAAATTGAGCTCAAACGCTAGAACTAGAGTAGTTGTGTAAGTGGATTGAACAAAGTGATAAGAATTTGGTTGAATTTCAATAAGTAAATATTTGATTTATACGAATTTAACAATGGTTTCGGATGGAAAAGTTTTTTTATAGCTTTATACATCCCTACAGAATCCTTAAATGAATTCAGGAGGGGTTACATTTTGTAAATGATAGCGTTAGTATCAAAGATGTGCCTTTTGAGAAATTCAACTTTAAATCCTTGTCATTTTTTAATCAGATTTGACAATTTTTCTTTTTTTTATGTAAGTAGTATTGTAAATTGTGTATTTTTGTACTACTATTGAGTTTCGCAAAGAATATTCCAATCTTACAAAAATAAACACTATAGTACGTACAATGTTATAGAGTTACGTAACTCTGTTAACACGAGTGATTTTTTTTAACATTAATTTTCCAAATTAAAATTATTTATCCTATTTAGTCAAATATTCCATGAAAATAATAACTAGTGGTATCCGTGATACATTTATATTTTCCATTTATACAATTTTAGTGGGCCCCTCTGAACCAACTGAGCTCAAACTGGGAAGTTAGAGTTATTTTATAAACGAATTGAAGAGATAAAATTTGAATTGAATTTCAATATGGTATTCACCATGTTGTTGCACAAGGAAAAGTTCTCAATAATTTAGTCCTGGAGAGGGGGCCGTTGAAGTTTCTTGGAGTTTTCGGGTTTATTTTCCATGTTCGAAGACTTTAAAAATTACCGAACTTTACGTTATATCTAATTTATAAATATTGTAGAGAAATTTCTTGACAACAATATTACGTAAAGTCTTTAAGTTCGCAGCCAGTTGCAGCTGCAACATTATAAATAATATTAAAACGGTATCAAACGTTTGGATAAATCTGCAATATGGCGTGAAATATTGCACACGGTTTATTCGTATTTTTTAGTTATAAGTGAAACTATATGTCTTTGATCCGCGTGACGTGTAATAATAGCTGCTTCGACTTGACAACGAATTACGTAACCAATTGAAAATTATAAACATACGAAATAGTGACAAATCATCGGCTGAGACGCACAAAGAGACGACGAACCCGAACAGAACTTATTCAATATTGCGATCCCGAGCCCAAGAATTAATCTCGTTAACATTGTTTATTATTAATAAAACCAAACGAATCAAATGTTTTGTGTTGAACGGAGATATGCGCGTGGTGTAAATCATATGAAGCTTCTAAAGTTCAATACGGTTACTCATAAATGCGTCAAGCAGGAGGGTGGAAAAGTAGAAGTATTTGACCCCCTTGATTTTTCACCCTTATACAATATAATTCTACTAATTACGAACTCAATGAGCCAATTATCTGCCTTATGACTACTGCCAATTCCAACCCTTCCTTCTTTTGTTCTTAATATTTTTTGTATATTAAACCAACACTTTTCTCCTCTTCGAATCAAATATATTTTTTATACCTAATTTATAATTTTTCTTGTAACTTAATATAATTTCAATAACTTGTAATTATGCTAATATATGAGCACAAGCCTATTATTATAAATATATAAATAAATAACGATACAAATGAAAAAAGAGGAATAAGTATTTTCAATTCGCCCCGCTCTACACATTTTCGTGGACAACCTTACGGTTACCCGAACTATTGGAATTCCGCGGACTATAGAACGCGCGAGATATTAGACATGATTTTACCTTCGTTCAACGTCGCGCTCAAGGATTTAGACCGAATGAGGCAAGATAGGGGCAAGGTTACCAATAGACTACATATTCGTGTTCGAGCGTTATAGATAGTCGTATTCATCCGTCCAAAATCTTAAACTCTGCATAACTCACACGAGTGATATACTTCTATAATTATCCCGTTATAACAACGTTATTATTGTAATATACCTACATTATGTTCTCTATTTGCATCCAAGTTAGAAAATCAACAATCATTTGAAAATCAATAAGGATAGTCACAGATACGCGTTTATTTTGAAAATATTGAAAATATAAGATATCGCTTTACAAACGACGATTCTGTACAGTGAATACACAAAATCAAATGTACCACACAATATAGTTTCGCATATGTATGGCTGGATAATATCAAGAGAATTACAATTTCGGATAAATTACGAGACTTGACATAGATATAGCGTAATATTATATTATAATAAATGCTGTTTCGTGTGCAATTATGACAAAGTGAAAAATATCTAACGCATGATATTGTAATATTATAACCTTTGGGTAGTACTCATATATATTATTATTAGTATTATCATTATTATCCACGATGACGCGTTATAGCAATTGGACACTCACCCGAAGACGTGTGGGCCGTGCCGCCGTGATGGTGTGACCCGTTGTTGAAGTTCAGCTGCCTGGAAAACAGTGCCGGGAAAATGTTGTGCGGGTGGTGCGGATCACCACCCGCCACACCTTTCAGATCAATCGCGGTGCCCGTTACTGTACGTCGGGTCGCAAAATTTCGTCAACGCGGGTCCGCTGCGGCGACAACAGTGGCACGCGGCAGTGGCGACGCGGGACGACGGCTGTGTGGTGACGATGACGACGACTGCGGCGGCGTCTGAACGGTGAATCGTCGGTCGGACTTAATGCATGCGACTGCGGCCTCTGCAAACGTACTGCGAGGACGGTTACTCGGTCCGCAACACGAGACGGAAAAATAACAATAATAATTATTATTATTGGATTTATCTTTTTATTGCCCGTGTTGTTGTTGTTGTTATTGTTGTTTGCTGGTGCCACCGTGGATCGTCGCGGGGAGAGGAAATTTTTTTTCTAATAAATAATAACGATAAAAAAAAAAAAACAACAAATTTAAAAAAAAAATGACGCGTAAATAATAACGCTCTTCGGACACGATACGATATGATGATGATTTAAATTGAATTGCAGGTTTGCATCAGCAGGGATGACCGGAGTGTCCGATTAACGAAAGAGCGCGTCATCCGATGCCAAACTAGAAGTGACTAACGAAATTACTGGGTACTAGTGATCGGCTGACTGGAAAACAGGGACCCCCGCCGGGGACGACTTGGAAAGGGATCGGTGGCGGCTGCGGTGGCGGCGGGGTGACCAATGAGACGGGGCAGGGTGCATGGCGCTGCGACGGCATTGGCTCGGCTGCGCCGCCCGGAACGGATGCCATAGTTGTTGGCGCGAAGACAGCCGCCGCCTTTGTTTTTGTGGATCCCCTAAACGATAATAGATTTTGTGATAGTTTTCAGAGACGTGGGATGCGCGTTTTTTTCCTCTCTTTTCGCAATTTCCCATCAACTCGTGCACGCGCACATATAATATTCTATACATATTATACCACTCGCTAAAATATATATATATATATGTATATAATAATAATAATAATATGTAATATGCGCCGTTTCGTCGTCTTGTTAATTTCGTTCTTTTTAGCGTTTCTTTTGATTATCGTCAATTTGTTTTATTTTTATTTTTTTCGCGTCTTGTCCGCGTATTTGTTTCCGAGCGAAATTTATTAATATCGTTTTCCGAGGCGTTAAAAACGTAAAATACGTAATTTGCTCTGCGTTTTACTGCACGATGAACCACGCGTACTAATCGGGAGATACTTACACTTATTTACAGGTCTGAATTCGTTTCATTAAAAATATAAACATTGTTTTATTTTTGATTTAGATCTGATATCAATAAAAAGTTTATCAAACAATTTATTTTTCCAACAACGATTCAATTTTCATAATATATTATACACAATATTGTAATATGTATTTATGTATACATTTTAATGTGGTAATTTTGAACTTTTAGTAAATTAACAACTATAACTAGCAAAGAAAGTTATATACCTAAGCATTTATGCAATCCAAATTATGGTTGTCTAAAATGTTTATTGGTACAATAAGTCCCATAATTGTGTATATTTAATTAAAAAGTTTTATGCAACCCAATTCGAGTTTCACATTTCTCTCGCTTAACATATTAATATGTCCAAATTATATAACAGAAGTTCAGTTGCAAGACACAGTTAGTTTTTTTTTATACACATTTATGGTGAAATCAAACAAAATGTATTTACATGAGCGCATTTTTAAGGAGGTTTTCTGTGTCCAAATGAACACATCAGTAGAGTCCATTGGACACCCAGTAAAGTAAAATTTTGGTAACTACGTGTATCCATAAAAAAATGAATGGTAGGTAAATGTTTGAATTATTCGATTTTGTAACAAATTATTCTATATAGGAAATATACTCTCACCGGTGGGAGTACGGTTAACTGGAGACAACAATTGGAATTTTTTTTAAGAGAAGGAAAATTGTACACGTAATGGACATTCACTAAAAAAAATACGCCAATTCACATAATAATAATATAATTTGATAATGCCGAACCTGATCTCGAGTCTAACGTCAAAGTCTTATAATTAATCGGCCAAATCTCGAATTAAAAATCGTATACGACGTAGTCGTCTGCGATTAAAGTCCAGTTATAATATTTTAATATTTTTTTTTAGTGATTATAAAATCACGTTTTTAGTTTAACACTGCAAAGGATTAAAATTAACCAAGCCATACATATTTTATAAGTGCTCTTAATTGGCAATCGATAAAATGGACTTATATAAAAATATGTCTCCGTCGTTCTCGCCTGGTTATTATTATTTTTTATTTTTTTCCAGAACTATAAAATAATTATTATTGTTACTAAACAAAAATTGTCACAAAGGCTTCACGTCATCGTTACATGAATTAGTGTAAACACATGCGCGCGCGCGCCCGCTCTGTCCTCTTGGGAATTGTTACGCAATTACCTTTAGGTACTACTTACCATTATATTATAATAATATACGGAACTCGTGCAACTATGTTAAACTCTCTCAAACCGATATTTCCCTTAAACGTGTTATTACTACACGGCTAAAATAAATTACCTAGACTATTATATATAGGTAAGTACTTTGAAAAACTTTTAAACTATAACAACATAGAGTTATAATATGTAAAACAGCGTCCCTGGGTAACGTATAATTCTAAAAAAAAAATATCCATATAATAATAATTTATCTAAATGATTATATTATAGTCGTAAGATAATCGCGATAATATAAGAACTCTTATAATATATAATATTATGTACGAATAATTAAATTAAATGTATAAAATATTATTTTTGTAATTTCAATAAGTATATTATACATTTTTTACTAAAAATAAAAATGTATATTGTACACTGAAACCTCTACATTGTGGATATTTGCGATAAATTACAAAACTCTATTATAGGGAGGCACAATAGAGAATTGATTGTATATATAAATACACATAAAAATTGCCATTGCATTTATTATAATTTATAAAAAATGTATTATTATTATACTGTAATATATTAATTATTTATTATAATATGTGTACAAATGTTAAATTTTTATGTACAATTAAAAAAATCTATAATTTTTTTTTTGTACATTTTTTTAGTATACAACTGATGACCGAACACATAACTGAACCATTTGTCATTTATCGTATAGGAAAACATATCCCTGCATTTACTGTTTTAGTCCAACTACCGGGTAACATGCGAAAACCGAGCTTACGTAGAATAAGTAAAATTAGTTTGATTTTGATTTTAGAGTAAAAGTACCTAATATAAAATTTATAAAGAACAATATTTTGGAGGGAATGTCATAGGGTTTTTATATTATTCAAAATATACAGCTCGATATAAAATATAAAAAAATCTTTATTTTTTTTTTTTTTTTTTAAATAGTTCATAATAACACCCATGGCATTCCCTCCAAAATATTGTTCTCGCTACATTTCAAAATAGATACTTTTACTCTAAAATCAAAATTAAACTAGTTTTACTTATACTGCATAAGCATTGTTTTAGTATGTAAACCAATAGTTAGACTAAGACAGTAGATTCGGAATAACGTCCTCTTAAGATAAGATCAAATATGAAAGAAATGTATAAAAAATAAATATGTATAGTATTTTTATTACTTAAACATTTTCAGCATCTACAATGTACATGTATTGTTCATTTGTAAATAGTAATTTTTAGTTTTGGTACCACTTCTAAGTATCCATTATTTAGAGGTGTCCATTAATAGAGGTTTCATAAATGTATGTTAAACAGATTTACCTATATTCGCTTATAAAATAATTGCACATTAAAAGAAATATACAGATCAATAATATTATAGTAAACCAGCTGAATTACCCGGTATTTCCCGGGCTCGTATTTTAAAAAAAATTTAACGTCTGGCTGCTTAACGTGTCTCCCCATACCTCATATGTAAAATTCAGAACTACAAAAATCATTCGAAGTTTGACTAAACTATTTTTTATATCCAGTTTTTACCGAAATCAATTAGTAAATGTCCGAAATAGCAGTCAATACTGGTAAAAAAGCTATTCTTATTATGAGTCTTATTATTATTCTTATTATGATAAAAATTAAAAAACTATAAAAACGACTCCTCCCCCTGACTCCCCGTATCCACCTTGTGTCTATCACAATTAACCATTGTTGCCCGGTATTTTTTGTAAAGAATATTTCATTGCTCATGACCACCAAATTAACTAATAATAACGGATTTTACGTTTATATTATTAATGGATCTGCAATATTGCTTGCATGATTAAATCGGGTTACACGATTTAATAAATACGAACAAAACAACAAAACAAAGGAACGTATCTATTTAAATAGTGATACAGACTGTTTCAGACAGTATGTATGTATGCCGTACCTATGGATATCTGTAAAAAATGAATCACTGTAAAACTCGTGCTTATTCCATTTATAATATCTTTAAACTATTTTTAATTATTTAATTATAATATGATTCATTAAAATAACGTATTAATAATCTACTTAATACTTAAATAATTCATCATACCATTAATATCTATATTGATAATTTATAGCCTACATACCTATACTAGCTGACTCGGCAATACTTTGCTATTGCTATATAATAGTATAAATAATAATAATAATAAAAGTTTTCTTGTCCTTAGCAACCAAATTATCATTCGTGTCACCGGGGAAACCTATAAATCATTAAATAAAATTGAATTAATGACCTTCCCGTCCTGCTAGCTATCCCGTTAGGCGTTGCCTAGGTTAATTTTTTTTATTATTTCATCCGTATCATTAAGGTAACCCATAAATAAGCAACTAGATATTCGTACCAAAAATACCTAAAAACCCCTATTTTACCCCTTAGGAGTTAAATTTTCAAAAATCCTTTCTTAGCGGATACCTTCGTCATAATAGATATCTGTATGCTAAATTTCAGCCCGATTCGTCCAGTAATTTTGGCTAGGCTATGATGAATCAGTCACTTAGGACAAGTTATTTTATGTATACGATGAGTATATACATGTTAATAATTTTAATACACAACTACGTACTATAAATGTTCATTTCTGTCAATTAATAATAATGAATGACATAATGTTTTTGAATTAAATTCGAAATCCTATAGAATCAGTGTATACATTTAGTTTACATTTTTTTTTTTTAATTAATAATTGGTTATAATATCAGAGTAATAAAGTATAGTACAAAAGATTTTGTAAAAAAAATTGATAATTTTTATACAATTATTTAATTATACCTATACTATTATTTATTATAGAACGGTGTACAAATTAAAGTTATATTTTTGGAAACCAAAATAGCAGCATTCTTTATTTTGTTTTTATAAAACTTTCGCGTCCAATTATTACACTTAATACAGCGTGTATAAATTTACATTACTAATTGTGCATTATTAAATAAACTGTTTGATGTTTATAATTTAATATATTATGCCACAAATTTACTAGATTTGACGTTGAGCACGTAGTTGATCTTTTAATTGTGCCGTATCTCTCTAAGCGTTGAAGTATAATTACAATAGACTTATCTCTAGGCATTACATATTTTGTTATTTTATAATCAAATTGAAATATCTACTTTTCCTGGACTTAGT